GCTCTCTCTCTCTCTACCTTCTATGTGTGGTGTGTGTGTGTGTGCGTGCGTGCGTGCGTGCGTGCGTGATGCAATCCATGGCCGCTGCGTGCAACTTGTAGGCTTAAGGCAGTTTCTTTGACCCAGTTTCTTAGGGTTTGACGGTCGTTGCAGGGATGTGGTTCCCTGCTCAGTTAAGGGACCTCCAGTCCTCTCCCCCCCCCCCTCCACTTGGCGTCGGCCAATCCCATGCCTTCCAACGTCGACAAGAAAGTGAGCCAAGTCCGTAGAGAAACCAGTGTAATGGGGTACTGTAAGGTAGTTTTCGCTATTTTCACCGTTCAGCCCTCCCAACTCATTTTAAGAATTTATGCCCCTGGATCATTGATTAATCAAGGCTGATAAAACTCCGGCGCTCGTGAAAGACAGCACCACGGCTCCTGCGGGCCGGAGGACAGGAACTGCGGCAGTCCGCCGGAACGGACGGTGTCCCCATATTAAACACAAGTAATGCCATCGAACCCCAGACGGGTTTCGGTTGTTTCTTACGTTTGCTTATGCTGTTATTGTGTACCATCTATGCTCTGTGTTATGGGACCGGCCGTAGCGATCGGCTCAGAACAGCTACAGGCTCGGTGCGGCGTCTGCGAATTCAAAACACGATGCCGGCGGCCTGTATGTCCGGTTAGGACGGCCCGTCTGGGGCCAGGCCGCCGGCACGTCGGTACGCCTCCGTGTCCGGTTAGGACGGCCCGTCTGTGGCCAGGCCGCCGGCACGTCGGTACGCCTCCGTGTCCGGTTACGACGGCCCGTCTGTGGTCCAGGCCGCCGGCACGTCGGTACGCTTCCGTGTCCAGTTACGACGGCCCGTCTGTGGCCAGGCCGCTGGCACGTCGGTACGCCTCCGTGTCCAGTTACGACGGCCCGTCTGTGGCCAGGCCGCCAGCACGGCGGTACGCCTCCGTGTCCAGTTACGACGGCCCGTCTGTGGCCAGGCCGCCAGCACGTCGGTACGCCTCCGTGTCCAGTTACGACGACCCGTCTGTGGCCACGCCGCCAGCACGTCGGTGCGCCTCCGTGTCCAGTTGGGGCGCCGTCTGTGGCCAAGCCGCCGGCACGTCCGTACGCGCGTCCCTCTCGGTCGCCACGGCCCCGGACGGCCCCGTCGTTTGGCGGCGGCACGGGCGGTCACAGGTCAGGTCACGAGGCAGCACAGGTCGCCGTCCTGTTCAGAACCGATGGAGAATGCCGATGGCTCGGGCTTGGTGTCCAGCATTGAGGCAAGATTCATTTTCGGGAGGAGTCGGTTCTGCTCTTCCCGCCTCCCGATCGGCTGAACCTGCCCTCGCCCTTGGACAGAGGCATTCTTCCCTGGACCAGCTTTCTCGGAGCGCGCCGACAGTCCGGTGGCCAGCGTCCCATTAGCGAAGACCGAGAGGACCTGGGGCTTCGGCGAGAGTTCATGAGAACTGGTTTGAGAAGCGGTCCGGACGACCTTCACGATAGCGCCGCTCCAGAGGCGCGCACAGGGACGGGGGCGGGTCGGCCAGTGCGGACCACGCCGCTCCAGAGGCGCGCACAGGGACGGGGGCGGGTCGGCCGGTGCGGACCACGCCGCTACAGAGATGTATCGGGGACAGACGAGGAGGGGGGGGGGGGGGAGGGTTTCAGACCGTGCCGGGGCGGAGTATACACAGGTGCAGGGGACGGAGCTACAGAGCTGTACCGCGAACAGACAAGGGGGGGGGGGGCTTCAGACCGTGCCGGGGCGGAGTGTACACTGGTGCAGGAGATGGGGTGCGAGTGGTCATTCAGACCACGGAACTCGGAGGCGTACTCAGAGACGGTAGAGTGACAGACTTCGGAACGCGCCTCTGCAAAGTTGTACACGGACGACGTCGGCTTATTTCACCATAGAATGTGTATATTTAGCTGGAACGAGTCAGCGTTTCTGCGCTGTGATTCGAGCTATTTTCCAAAGTCCAAGATGGCCGTTTCATAACAAGAGTTCTTGGGCGGGCTCTTGCCTGGGTGCGCGGAACGCTGGTGAAACGCCTGGATCCCGTAGTTGGGGAGTATGGGTTGTGTCGGCGAATGCAGAATCTAGAAGTGCGGGATTCAGGGAGTGGAATCCAGGATCGATCGTTGGGAATACGGGCATATGTGCGTCGTTGATATGTCAAGAAGCATGCTCAAATGAGAGCCATTGTCTCAGGAGCGTCACTTCATATGCTTTCGTGGGGGCCTCAGCCCCCCCCCCCCCCCCCCCCCCCCCAATGCCCACTTGAGCCTCCTTTCTCCGCAATACCCCTCTGGGTCCCCTCACTGCACATGAGCAAAGAAGGAATACTGGGCCAAATGAAGACAGCAATCATCTTGAATGTTTGTAGGCTAGCCAGAAGGTACCTCAACACCTCACTATTTGTGTCATGTATATCGTTAACCAAATATATGTCGTTTACCAAATAGTGTCACGCAGGTACATAATGTTTTTTGCCATGTCAAGTCCTTCACATCGTTCGCCAAATGTTTGACCAGTTTTTGAAATGATTGTGCTTGGATTGGGGTAAATAACAATTAAGTGCAAGATGTGGCAGTTTGAAAAGTAAAGGATGGCCCTGATAAAAGTTGACGCATGTTTTCACCTAACAGCGGCAAGTGTATTTGTTGCAATAATCGTGGGTGTGGTGGTTATACAACAGGACTAGCGGTAGTGGTAGTCATCAGTAATCTCTTGCAAAGGTTTACTATGATGATTTTCCGTTACACCCCAATTTAAGCCTTGCTTAAAAAAGCAGCTGTTATTTACTTGAAATTGGCAGTCGCTCCTCCTGTAGGAACACAGTTTTGAATTTACTTAATATTAAAAGCGTTGTGAAATTTCAACATAAAAGACAGGATAAATAAGGTTTTGGGGGTGGTTGAGGTCAGTTTGTTCGGCTGAACCCTCCCGCCAACCGATTTTTAAAAAGTGACGGCACTGCATTGTCTAAGCTCTCACCTGAATTCTGGATTGTTTAAACTTTTGGTGCATAATAACCAGCGCCATCCTGCATGGTTTGGTACAGCGTTGCCACGTTTTAAGATTTGGGGGGATGGGGCTCAGCCAGTGTTGATTTATCTTACTCCCAGAATCTTATTTCTCTCCGAACTTCGGCGACTTGAATTTGTGTCCCCGATGTTGAAATTAAATACAAGCTTGTTTGATATTTTGTGGATTGGTACAGCTTTTCTGCGGAGGAATGACTTTCCATTTCAAAGTAATGGAGCTACTTTTTCGAAGACAAGGTGAGAATCGTGTGTTATTTACAGAAAAACATCGTAGTAAGTCTTGGTACGGAATCGCTGATAACTAGCGTTGTTGGTAATCATGTTGTATAGCCATTACAGCCATGGTTATACGACAGATGCACTATGCTTTGCACGCATACAATTGCCGCTCTAGGGGAAAACATGCGTTAGCCTTGACTGGGCCACCTGCACTTTTAAAAGATGCGGCATATTGCGGTAAATTGTTCTTAATCCCAATCCAGGCATTGAAATTTTGATAATCATTTGTCGACTGACCAAACATATCAGGGGCTACGAAAATAAAATCATTAGGTACGTAAAGAGTGCCTTTTTGGTACAAAAGTATTTGGTACAAATCTGACAAATTTACACAAAAACCTCTGTACAAATTAGCGTGATACTGGTAGGGATTTTAGTTACCCTCTACCTATAGTTACCAGTAGTAATGATAGTAGTTCCGTATTTATTTGGCCCAGTAATCCCTCTGCTCATATGTATTGGGGAGGGTGGGGCTCAGGGGAGCATTGGAGGGAGAGGGGAAGGATCTCAGGCCCCGAAGGTATATAAAGTGATGCCCCTGTCGGGTAATAATGCCATCAGAGAATATACCTGCTTTGCGATATGGTACGTTTCTGTCTGTCTGATGGTACCGCCGAGTGTTGTGATGAACGTGCCGCCGTTGAACGCCTTGCTTTCTCCCCCAGGCGGATCCAGCCAAGAAAATAGTAGTCCGGCAGTCTGAGCTGCCTGTATGACGTCATCCATCTGGTGTGACGTTACGTGGCAACGACAGCTGTTAACCAATGCGCGGAGGAGCTGAATGATCTGTGATGAGCTGATAAGCGAGTGCTGGGCGCCTTTTTGGGGGTCAACGACGCGGTGATTCTTACTTTGGAGTGTTTTCGTTCAATGAAATCATCTGCACGCTTTTCGTTCGGGCTTTTTGTGGCTTTGATTTGCGCGGTATGTGTTGTTTTTCTTTGCTCTTGAGATCGTGTGCTGCCTCGTCTATCCGTAGCCATTTTCGATCTCGTTTTTTGATTGATTTCAACGCACGGCTCACTCTTAGATATTCGTTGCCCTTATTACCTGTTTTTTGCGACCTGTTCTTCCCCTCTTGACTGATTTGATCATGCACAGTGACGTAAATGAATCGACTAAATCCAACAAGATCGGACCGTGTTACGCCACTCTTTATTATTGTTTTACGCTGCTTCGATTCATTCGTTGTTGAGCAACGAATGCGTTGGGGCTCATCCAATGCTTCCTGTAACTTGCACTTACTGTGCTACCAAGAGCCGAACGCTGCCCGGAGCTGATTTGAACCTAAGTTGCGCCCCTGGTGTTGACAGAGTTGGATATTTTTGATGGAGCCTTGTTTGGCCGTGTAAGGTTGACGCGGCGCCTTTAACTGTCTGGTCGCCTCCGCGTAAATTTCGTGGGCTATGCTCCTCAGTTTTTGATGTTGTGAACTGTCGTTATGAAGAAATTGTTTTGAAGCCGTGCCGACCAACCCCGAGACTGCGCAAGGACATTGTTGGGCTGTCGTTCTATGAGTTGTCACGATTGGTGTAAATCTATTTCTGAAGTTGCTCACTTCACCTGTTCACAAACAAACGCCGAGATCCGATGGAGGTTAACGTAGGTCTTCCCTCGATGCCTATATATTTGTAAAGGCCATTTCGCTCTTAGTGCTTTGCGAAAATGAAAAAAACTAAGCGCGGTTTGCATCCACTTCTAGCCCAAAATTGAGGGCAATGTATGCTGATTGAGTATAAATGCGCCGAATGCCAGCTCCCGATGATTGGACTGAATGCGTTTGACGTAATGTCCACCCACTCTGTGTGCTCGGTAAGAAAATGTAGCGTTGTTCGTTGGAAAATAAATCAGATACGTGGCACTGGACTTTTCGCTGCGGTCAATTGCTGCCCAAGGGCGATGCACAGAGTTCTTGTACGTTTCGAGGCTGTTTGGACATCCAAACGTCCGGGCTATTTCGTCTTTTTCCATTTCGCGCGGCTTCTGTACCGGGCCTTCAATTGGTCATCCCACTGCAGCTGAAGACCGATTCTTTGACCAGCCGTGGTTGTAACCATGCCCTTAACAATGGAGATGGGGAGGGACAGCCTGACTGAACATGCCTTTAAAGGGTAGGATCGGGGCCAGTTTCTTTAAAGCGTCACTTTCTGAAATCGGCAAGGGGAGGAGGGAGGCTTGGCCGTTAATCGTGATCTCACCTTCCCCCCCGAACCCCGTTTTCTTTCCGGAGTTCAGCCACTTTATTTTCTTCTGATCCACCTGTGTTACCTCGCGAAAAATCTGTCGATGTTCGCGGACTGGCGTAACACGCGTGGGGTCCACATGGTAAAAACACGGCGCCCAAAGCATGCCTACTATTTGGTACAATATGAGCCCGATAGCAATAATGTGTTTAGATACCTACTGGGCCTGTAGTTCGGAGAAATTCACAGCATTGCATTGGTCCAGTATTATCGTTTTTGCTCATCCATTTGGGAAGGGATGGGGTGGAAGAGCATTGAGGGGCTGAAATCGAAATCGCGGCGAGGAGGCTGAGGGCCCCGAAAGTATCCGAAGTGACTCCCGCTGGGTGAGATGCTGACAGCTTTCATGAAAATTATTACACCAAAAAAACATCCTGGGGAAATTGGAATCCATCTTCCCGTAGCCTATACTCTGTGGCTATAGCCGTGCGCCCGTTTTCGTATCACGCCAGCGCCTCTCGAAATGTTTGCGCGATGGGGCTGCATCGGGATTGCTAGTTCTAAGTTGCTAGATGTAGCCGGTAGGTGTCGGGACTAATCGGCCACTAGGTGTCGTCCATTGGCGATGGTTTGTGCCCTTGTGGCAGCTGAACACATCGATAGTGCTCCTGGGCCATGTGAAATGATCTGTCTGGTTCAGACTCTGCGAGGTCTTTTCAAAAGACATTCGCTCATTAGTTTATTCGCTGAAAATTCTGCCTCCTGCAGCAGCGTCGCTCGTGCGACGATTTACGTTGTACAAACATACACACAGACGTAAGCTGCTTCCGTGATGGTGCGCCGTTATAATGGTCCCTGTATTGCTCCTTACCTAATTTCTGTTTCCATGTCTAGATGTGCATTTGCCGCGTTGCATTCTCCGTAGACCCAAGAAAGAAAAGTATGAACCTTACCCATCGTCCAGCAAATAGCAACGATTTTCCCCGTATCTTTGCTGCATTAAAGAAAAGCAAGTTGTTTTCTCACCTGCGCTAGGAGGATCATCAGTGCTATGGAGATCAGGAACAGAGAACTTAATATCAAGACAACTAAGTAGCTAACTAGGGAAAACGACATTGGAAGGCGTCATCGTCGCGTCAAACTCTCGCAAAACTGCCTCAAATGTCCGTGAATAAAAAATGGTGAATATGACCTGTAACAATCCATACCAGGTCGAAAGAGGGCAGGTCGACGCTTAAGAGACACCTCATTTTATCTGAAAAACAAAGCATTGTCGTGATAATGTGAAGGATGATACTGAATATGTCTTAATGATGAGGTTGAAATGATGGACGCTATTGCTGCATTGGCCCGCCGGGTTATGTCAAGAACGCAGCTGCTTTTCCCAGCCGAATGCGCCCAGCTGTACCCACATACATCCAATCGAGACCTCCGCACACATCCAGCCGAGTGCGCCCAGCTCTGCCCAGATACATCCAATCGAGACCCCCGCACACATCCAGCCGAGTGCGCCCAGCTGTACCCACATACATCCAATCGAGAGCCCTCGCACACATCCAGCCGAGTACACCCAGCTCTGCCCAGATACATCCAATCGAGACCCCCGCACACATCCAGCCGAGTGCGCCCACCTGTACCCACATACATCCAATCGAGACCTCCGCACACATCCAGCCGAGTACACCCAGCTGTACCCACATACATCCAATCGAGACCCCCGCACACATCCAGCCGAGTACACCCAGCTGTACCCACATACATCCAATCGAGACCCCCGCACACATCCAGCCGAGTACACCCAGCTCTGCTCAGATACATCCAATCGAGACCCCCGCGCATATCCAGCCGAGTGCACCCAGCTCTGCTCAGATACATCCAATCGAGACCCCCGCACACATCCAGCCGAGTACACCCAGCTCTGCTCAGGTACATCCAATCGAGACCCCCGCACACATCCAGCCGAGTACACCCAGCTCTGCTCAGATACATCCAATCGATACCTCCGCACACATCCAGCCGAGTACACCCAGCTCTGCTCAGATACATCCAATCGAGACCTCCGCACACATCCAGCCGAATACGCCCACCTGTACCCACATACATCCAATCAAGAGCTCCGCACACATCCAGCCGACCTGGCCGAATGCTCTCCGTAGCATGTCCACATCCGGCTTAGGAACACGTCGACGTACCGACGCTGGCAGAGTATCCAGTGGTGCTCCAAGTTCTTTAAGTGCTTGACATCCTGTGAATTATCCCCGCGCAATATGTTTCCGGGCGCCTGTCCACTGTGCTCTTCGTTCCATGGTGTTTGTGTTCATCTCCTTCTTCAAGTAGTGTGCTATGTGCTCTACATCCCCAGACGCTCCCTGTGCCCCACATCCCCAGATGCGCCTCGTGTTCTACATCCCCAAGTACTCCCGGTACTCTACACCCCCGGGTACTCCTTGTATTTTGAATTCACGGCTGCTCCCTGTGCTCTATGTCCATGGATGCTCTGCATGTGATAGATCCATGGGCGTTCCCTGCTCTGGCTATCCACGGGTGTTCCCCGTATTGTGCATCCCTGGGCGCTCTTGTGCTTTGCGCTCACGGGTGTTTTCTGCACTCTACACCCCCGGATACTCCCTTCACTCTGCAGCCGTGGATCTTCATTGTGCCTCTTTCCCTGGGCATTCCCCGCGCTCTTCACCCCAGGTGTTTCATGTGCCCCACATCACTGAGCGCTCCCTGTGCTCTAAATCTCGGGTATGTCCTGTGCCCTACAGCCAAGATGTTCCTCGTGCCCTACCTCTCCAGGCACTCCCTGTGCGCAGGGGCGCTGTGCAACAGCAAGCGCTGTAGACTTCGCCAGGGATCCGCCTAGAGGGCCCCCGTGTGAGTGATAACCTCGTGGAGCTCGTTGTGTATGGGGCGCAGGGAAAATGGACAACGGAACACGGGCTAGGGAATGACCTGCTTGATATGATGGAAGACGACGGAAATTAGGACGTTCCAGTAAACGCTATCGGTCACAAAAAAGTTACCACTTCTTCCGATGCCTGTCTTTGAAACTCGGCAATTAATGTGATCATCGCACAAGGCTGAGATGGCGTATTCGTTCTCTGAAAGATTCTACAAATACTAGCTTTTTGACATGTGCAGTCCAATGCCCAGCAAAGGCCAAAACTAGTTCACTAAGACATTACCTGCAGCATATTTGGGGGCAGAGTCAGGACAGAACCAGACAAGCGGGCGTAAGTGGTGATAATTGAAGGTAGTGCAGGTCTCTAACCAGCCACGTGAGCTGGAGCTGGACTCCGACTCCGGATGGACTCCTGCATTAATCCGACTTTTGCTGGGTCACGGTGGAATTGGCCCTTTTGGACTTTTGTTGCTGGTCAAACTCAGAGTACAGTCGACCGCACTGTCGGCGACAGGGCTCAATGGTGCGTGTAACAACATGTATAAATTATATAAAGGTCAACATGCCTACCCAGTGATACACATAATATATGGTCGGTGAAGTACATGTCTGCAAGGGGCTTTCAGGGACTTTTCGGGTAATGCAAAACGGGACAGACAGACGCACCTTAAGAGAACAGTATAAAGCCAAGGTTTTGCACTCTTGTTCCGGTGCGCACTTGCAAACGTGGGCATTTCAACTTTTTTTAGTTAGTAGTTGAATTCAGGCTTCTGGTAGATACACTGCATCACAATAATGGCTGGCAAATGCTTCTTGCATAATTCCCTCAATGCTGGTGACCTGTGAGAGCTGTGGCTTGCTGGTTCAAAACTAAAAACAATTAAGAAATCAAATATGACTGGCAGACAGTTTTGGACCCGCTGTTCATGCTTGTTTTTAAAAATGCGTGTGACTGAATAATAACACATCTCTCTCCATCCCTCTCCCTTTCTCCTCTCTCTCTCTCTCTCCCTCTCTCTCTCTTCATTGCTCTCCCTCTCTCTCCCTCCCTCTCTCCA